CCAGTTTTACCCTAGTATTTTTAATCTTAAATTTAGACAAAGGTAGAGTCAATGTTTTTTTTTATTATTTAACAATATTCATTTATGAAATATTTGGCTCCTAAATTTATAAAACTGCCTTTTAAACAATCACTCACTCTACTCTTCTATACAACCATATCTATACAGAAGTATCTGGCCTGATATTCATGACATATTAACATTTTCTTGGGGGTGGGATTTTGAGATTGTTTTTAAATTTCTGCAATGCCTATCTTCATTTTTAACAATTATGTATCATTGTAACAAATGACAATGAAGTCATTGGGATTTAAAAGAAGAAATGAAATGCCAAGATTAACTGAGAGAGAAAAGAAAAATGAGACATCTTGATTCTTGTATGATCTCCAGATTTGTGGCCCTCTGTTCCATAACTCATACAGCAATCAAGTGAGTTCTCTAAAACAGAAGCATAGCATATTCATTTTCATCTTACTATCTTGCAAGATCTTCAATAAATTGCCACTAGTCCAGGATCAAGTCCAATTTCTTTAGTAATTTACACAAAACTCTCTAATCCAGCTCCAGTAGGTCTTTCCAACATCACCATCTTTCACTTCCCTGAATTCACCTTCCCTCCTACTGCTTGGAATAATTTGTAGTAAGAGTTCTTCATGCTTCAGGAGGTGGTAAAAATGGGCTCTTGTTTGTTTGTTTGTTTGTGGAAGTCAGCAGAGGGGCTGAAACTCCAAATTATTCCATACAATTCAGTTCAAAATCATCTCTGTGAAGCCTTCCCTGCCATCACTCTTTTTCCTCCTCATAAACAAAGTTATAAAATTACGTGCATCATTTTCCACCCTCTGTATCAGTGCCAAGCTGAACAATATTAAAGCCTGATGCAAAAGAAAAAAATATATGAATACTAATCTTATATTTATTTAAAATTTAGGTACTTTGTTAATCATAAATTTTTGTGTGAATTTTGATTTTTAAAAATATTCCTTCATAATATTATTTATCTTGATTACTAAGGTTTTTGATGCCCCTCTATATTGTTTGTGTTTTAGGTGAGGGTTCACTCGTATCACCCTAGTTTTAGTCTACTCTGTAGTGCTGGAGCACTTATTACACTCTATAGTTACCTTGTCTACACATCTATTATCACTACCAGACTGGGACCACATAAAAGGAAAGGAACCAGTTCCATTTCTCTGTGTATATCTAAAAATGAGCATAGTACCTAATATGGAGCAGGAACCCAGTTAGTAAGGATGAATAAATACCCAGAAAAGAGAAATAACCAAATTCTTCAAAGAATAAAATCTTCCACAAGGAAAAAAAATATCTAATCTAAATGGAGATGGGTGTTTTTTTGTTTGTTTGTTTTAGCTTTGTTTTCTTAAGGTTAGGGAACCTTAGCTTGAGTCAAGTCATGAGCTTAAAGTAATTAAGCAGTGAAAATAAAATCAGGTTTTTTTCCCCATGAACATCTATTTGTGGCACAAAGTTTTGCGTGTATCTATTCTAAAAAATGCCTGTATTTAGTCTACTATGAGAATCAGAAAATATTAAAATTAAAAGAAAGCTTAGGTAATATTTAATCCTCCCATCCTCTTAAAAATAAGGAATCAAGCCTAGCAAGGTTAAGTGACTTCTTTAAAATCACAATAGAGTCAGAACTTGAAATGAGGTCATTCATTTCTCCACCTGGTGTTTTTCACTGGAGGTTACTGACCATTCTAGAAGAGGGGACCATTGGAAAACAGAGAGTGAGGAGTGGGGATTTTTTCTAGGTCAGGCAGAATTGACCAGCTCACGGGTAAAATAAACCACAAATTTTTTACTTATTGCTTGAAACATGGTCACTGTTAAGGTGAAGTGATTGAAAAATGACCTTTCAAAGTTAATTCTGGCCCCTTGCTTTTGTCTTTGTCACCCGCCTCTCTGTGATTCATTTTCATCGGTAAGAGAGTGGCTCTACTTTACACCGACTCTAATTCAAGATTTGTGGGGTGCGATATAAAAGATACACTATTCGAATACTCTGTATATGAGCAAATGCAAGTCATTTTTATCTGCAGATTCATCATATAAATACACTATTATACTCGGTCATGCCTGGAGTAAATTGGAAGTAATTACGTATAAGGTCCAGCTTGGAGTTGAAAGCTAGGATATAGATACTGGTACTGAAAAAGACAGTTCTGAATTTCATCTTTAAAAGATAAGACATACATAGTTACCATTCTCAGCCAGAATTATTCTTCACAAATTGTCAAGCCTTTGAGCTCTCCTAACGACTCTTGTAAGATTTGCTAATAGTAAAAAGTGACTGGTTCTTCACAAAAGTGTTTTATTTAACATAGCTCTAAGTTATTGGGAAGACAGCAATGATGACCAAAATAAAAAATAAAAAATGTAGCCATGACTTGATTTGATGAAACTCAGTTAGGGAAAATAAACTGTGCGCGATTATTATTATTATCACTTTGTGCAAATGAAATAATCCTTTTTTTACTAATGATTAGACTTTCTGGTCAATTTATTCTTCACATTAACAATTAAGAATTCCTTAGTTTGCCCTTTCTCTTTATTTGGCCACCGGATTTATTTTAAAATCTTCCTCATATGCAAAGAAGAAAACTATAGGTTCACCTGGATCCCTAGGCTGCAAATCTAATATCATTAATTTTTACCCCTTTAAAATCTGTAAAATTTATAGGAGAAGAATTTCTTTTTTAAAAAGTAAAGAGGGCGCCTGGGTGGCTCAATTGGTTAAGCGACTGCCTTCAGCTCGGGTCATGATCCCAGGGTCCTGGGATCGAGTCCCGCATCGGGCTCCCTGCTCTGCGGGGAGCCTGCTTCTCCCTCTCCCACTCCCCCTGCTTGTGTTCCCTCTCTCGCTGTGTCTCTCTCTGTCAAATAAATAAATAAAATCTTTAAAAAAAAAAAAAAAGGAAAGAAGCCAATAAGATATTTCTTAAGAATAGGCCAATGGATAAGCAAGGAGTATATTCCTCAGGAAAGAAATAAGGTCATTTCATTGGAATAATAAGCAATCATAGCTTCCAACAATAATTTCAAGCATTGTCCTCAAGGCTAGAAATCTACTCACATTCATAAAACAACTTATGATAAGCTTTTTTGTACAAGTACTCTTTATTAAACATATACATATATACAAATTTTATTTGGCCTCATTTTACTAGCATCAATTTATAAGTGAGGACTTGGATTGGATGATTTTAAGAGCATCTTTCAGCCTTAAAATTGTTAGTGATTCTAGGACATACCTAGAGTGATAGCCAAAAAGGAATTCTCAGATATGACTCATAATTAATATTTGGCATTTGCACATTTTATAGTTCTCATATACAACCATTCCAAGGCAATGCAATAACTGAAAAACTAAAGGCAATGATTTAATGTCATTTCTTTTCTAAAAAATAAGAGATTCTGCTTAGAAGGTGGTCATTTTTATCAAAACGTTCCCCCAAACATCCAGAACACATTCATTCACACAACCCAGATCAGGAAGAAAGAAATATAGAAGAAAAATCTGGAAGCAACACAACAAAAAACTAGACCTAGATTTAATGTCATAAGACAGCTGCAAGAAATTCAATTAAGTTGTTAAGCCTACGTAATGAAAAAGAAAAGTTAGTACATGAAATCCCTGATAAATTCTTTACCAGAGTCAGCAGAATCTTACCCCTTGGCTATGATCTTCCTTCTTTCCTCCATTCCTTTGCTGCTCTTTTAATTTTAAAATACTCACCTTTGTATGAAACCGTACAAAAATTGCCCTCCCCCAAAACATTTAACTTCCCAGAAATACAAAACTACCGACACAAAAACTTTCCAGAAGATTAGCATTTCACCAGCCATATAGATCTATGTTGGGAAAAACATCTAAAAGGCCTTGTATTGAGTTCCTAATTCTGATGGTTTAACGGTTCTGATCAAATTCTATCCTACTATTCTGATCAAATTTGAGACAGATAATTTATATGATCTTATAATGCCCAGATTTCTTCTCTTAGGTACACAGTGCTTCTTATTTAGAGAACAATCTGTACACATTTTCATTATATTTTGAAGTCAATTGCTGAAGCTGTGCTAATGTGTTACCCTCTATAATATAGGAGAAACAAATATTTTCAATATGCTCTCAGACTCTAATTTCTTCCATTAAAGAATGCAACGTCCTCTGCTAGTTTATGGTTCGTTAGCATGCACTGATTGTTCTACTATTCAAGTAATAGCGTAGGTAAAGGTGAAAGAGCTTTCCTAGAGAGACAGTGTCTAGCTTAATGCCTGGAACACAGTAGGCTCTGAATAACTATGTGTTAAAGAATACATAACTGAATGAACTACTGTCGAAAAGAATTCATACGATGAGTTAAACTTTGGCTCAAAGCACAGATTTTCAAGTCAAGTGTTAAGTCCTGTTTGGCCAACATAAGACAGGGTTCACATCTTCCCTGGTCTCTGTTTTTGTTTTTGATGCAGCAGAGGTTTCACTCATTGGTCAGTATTTGTTCTGTTCCATTTCCTTTTAAAAATGTTTCATTTAACAAGAAAAGTCCTTTCCTTGCAGATACTAGAAGGATCTCCAAAGGTCACCTCATATGATATCCGATAAACAATTCTGATTAAGGACAATGCCACTGGGAAATTTAGGGTGATTGGTTGATATTCATAGTGTATATGAAAAAATGTCGTAGTCTGTTTTCAAATTTCAATGTATAAGTATGTACCACGTCCCTCTAGTAGCCCTATTTCTCTCGTCCCAACTTTCCAGGATGGTCTGCAATTCATCTAATTTGAATGCTGAACTGACTCTATTCAAATCATTTTTCTGCAATGAAAGATGGCTCACTCTCTCTTCACTGAGGAATGAATTAACTCTCCCAATAACTGGCTTGAATTTTTTAAATGTAAAAATTACGTAGACTTTTTATTTTAATAAAGAACAATGATTTATCTTTAAAAACATTTAAAAAGGCATTCTGCATTAAGTTCATCATCTTTTAGGAAACTACTCTAGCAACACAATTACATTAGACTTTCTGATTTCTCCATAGTGTCCTTAGATAAATAAACAACCCAATAGACCATGTTAAATGCCCCGAATGTTACTGGAAAGAGAATGCGGGCATATTTGTCTATTTTGCTTGTGCCGGATCCAGGCGGTGGTGGAGCAGAGGGAGGAGTGGTGGCTGACAACTTCCCGGGAGCCCCTATGGTATTAACGGTGGTCTTAATTCGCTCCAGTCTCGATCCGAACACACGGTGGGTAGAAGCAGATCCAACGGAAGCCTGTTGGGCCACAGACCCAGTTCTACGAGGAGTAGAAGGAGGAGCAGATAGAGGTGCTCTTGCAGCAGATATCGTTTCCGCTGCATTTGCATGGCTGAATGGGTTTGGACTGGAAGCTAAGTAAGACTTCGATGTGGCTTCGGAAGATCCTTGAAGAACTGTGGAAGATTTGCTCGAATGGTTTCCCACCTCAGTTCTGTTGCCAACATCAGGTTCAGAGTGAACTGAGGCATTTGATCTTTTCCTCATGTTCAGACTGGCATTTGTGTTCTGAAAGGGTATATTAAAAATTACATTGATTATGTCATTTTATGTGGAAAATTTAAAAATTTAAAGGGATCAAATAATTAAAATTCATTGCTTCTATAAAATAAGCTGTTATTAATATGCTCTAGCTACTCAGCTTGATGTAAAAGCTTAAAAATACCTAACTAAAAAAGAACATGAATGTATTTGGAACACTGAATCAAAAATCTTCTACTTCAAAATATTGTCCACTTTTATAAGTAATCAGAATTTTAATCTATAGAAAGATTTGGCTTTTAGAACTATAAACTAGACTTATGCTTGATTTAATTTTAGGAGTCCATGATGATAGCAGTACAACTTCTTTGTTCAGTTTTATTGTAAATCATATTCTGTGACAGGTTGTATACCCTTCAGTGAGTTTTACATATGTTTTTTTTATAAACAGGAGGAACCTTACTTAGTCTTGTGCACAGAATAACAATAATAACCATGCATATGTGCACGACATTCCTTAAAAAAAGGAAACTCCAAAACCTTAAATTTCCAAATCCCTGAAATTTATTTTCATAATCTTACATAGGCAATAACACACATTATTATAAAATCTGGAAATCCTAATGCATTTTATCTTTTCACCACAATAACAAAAATGCAAAGGAGCATTAATTTTAAATAAATGTTATATTAGACATATAAACAGCATCACCATACCATTGAATAAATATCTGAATTCAAACCATTTACCAAGAAAGGGTGTTTAAATCAAAATGGAACTATTTTCCATCAAATAACTTTATGTGTAGAACAAGACTATACTTGAATACAGATGCATGATAAAGATTAAAATTAATTCTCCTTATATTCTGGCAGGCATGATAAATAACTGGATAGCTAACTATAGATTGTCCATGCTAATGAAGGAAAACAATGCTCAAATGATTCCCCAAATAGTCATGTCTGTCTTTAGAATATACCATGATTTTTTTATAAAAACATTTCTTCCTTAATTATGTTTATCCTAAACTACTTTAGGATAGTTGCCTTCTATGCCCTCTCCCCTTACCATTTTATGAAATAGATGGTAAGTGAGGAGATGAAGAAGGAGAGGAAGAAGACCAGCGCACAAGTGGCTGATTAGAAGGAGCCAGCCTACAGGAATATCACAGATAAAATCATATACAATTGACTGACAGCTCATTTTACAGAGACATGTTTATTCTACAAATATAATCCTTTTTCAAAACCACACCCATCAAGTAGGCTGAAAGTGTTTAATCCGTATCTAATGTATTTGTGGATTATGACTTCAAATTTGCTAAGTAGAGAAAGAATAAAAGCCTCACAAAATATAGAGCCAAAGTAAGATCTGAGAGGTTTAGGAAGTATTCTTTATGTCAGTCTGGAGTATTCTTCCAGGCAGGTTCAGTTGAACTCATGAGAAATTGTAGTCTAACATATGGCACCTAATATTGGTGGAGACAATTGAAACCAAAATTGACATCAACATAAAAGCTGAAGATACCATTATTTACCCTGAAATTTTCCTCTACTAAGCACATTGTAAATGTCAATTAATCCTCAGATTTTGAGTCCTTTTTTACAGAATGGAATAATAGTTAATCGATTAACATTAATTTTGAAATGTCATACACACAGTGAAGAATATAGACAATAAGGTATATCCACATTTAAAGAGTTTACACTATCATTGACAAGATTCATACCCACACACATGATTCAATCAAAAATACAACAAAAGTAAAATATAGTGAATGTCAAACTAGTAAAATGCTCAATATACTAAGAAGAGAAGGGAAGAGAGGAATAGCAGACCAATTAAACAAGCAGGAAAGAAACATATGTCTTCAAATATAATCTTATATTGCATACTGCTTTCTTCCACAAAAAGTCAGGCTGCCCGTAATCTTTAGAAACTCATATTTTTCCCAAAACTAAATTCTAAGAATCAGAGGCTTCCACTTCTGGCCAAAATGGAGTAAAAGGGACTAAATTTACTCTCCTGTATGAAATGACAGGGAAAAAAAAAAACTGGACAAAACATGTGAAGCAATTGTTTTGTTTTTTTTTTTTTCAAAGATTTTATTTATTTGAGAGAGAGAGCACACAAGCAGGGGGAGGGGCAGAGGGAGAAAGAAGCAGACTCCCCGCTGAGCAGGGAGCTCAATGCGGGGGTTGATCCCAGGACCCTGTGATCATGACCCGAGCTGAAGGCAGACACTTAACCAACTGAGCCACCCAGGCACCCAAAGAAATTGTCTTTTGAAGACACTGAGCATTAGACAACATAGAACCATAATCCTTGAGAGAAAAGAATCAAACTTGAAAGCATTTCCATGCTGTAGAACAGGAAAGGAGAATCCAGGAGAAATATGACAGATTCCCTGAATTGAGGACATGAGCTGAGAATCTGGGGAAGTCAAGGTGGCTAGCATTTATAGGAAAAAGTAACAGGCAAGTGTATGCTAAAAAAAGTGAGAGAGAGAGAGAGAGAGAGCACTCCAAAAATCTGAAAGAGTCTCCATTGACTATTTTGCTAAGCCCAGATCAGTTTATGAGTATGAAGCACTACCCAAGGCTGCAAAAAGAACCCCCTAAAAGAATTGGAAGAAACAGTACCTGGAACACACAAAACTAGGGATAATGCATTTTCCCACCAGCCAGACTGTAAAATCTCACCATTCGTGTAGCGTTTGGTAGAGTACAAAGAAGGACCTTGCTTCAGTAATATGGAATAATTAGCCCTAACACAGCTCTAGAGTCCTGCTGAATGAATTTTAAAAGTAAGAACTGAAAGGATGAAATTAACTCTAAGTGACTTAGGTAGGCCCCAGAAAAAAGCACAAAAACATTTACAGGATTCTGTCTTCTTTCCCTCTAGGTCTGCAACTTTCTGCAACTTCCTGAAATCCCAACTGTGAATCATGTTCTATATCGTTGATTAAATACAGAAATTGCAACAAATTTTCCTCCTCCTCCATATTCATATTCATGCCCCCTTGTGATATGAATGTCCCACTCCTGTCCCATCAAGAGATGGAGTTTATTTCCCTACAGGCTTCCTTATAACTTTCTCTGGCCAACAGTATGTGGTGCAAGTGATGGGTGTGTCATTTTGTCTTAGCCTTAAGAGTTCTTGCTTGCTTCCACTCTCTCTCAAAACACTGCCATCAACACCACTAGAACAAGCTAGGACTAAACTGCTAAAAAGATCCTTTGGAGCAGAGCCAGTCATCCCAGTGAGGCTATCCTAGGTCACCCAACAGTTAGCTGATCACTAGACACATGAATCTGTCCCAGCTAAGAGAGGATGAACTGCCCAGCCAAGCCTAATCAAGATCAACAGAACTTCCCAGTTAACCCATAGACTTGAAAGCAAAATTAAATGTTTATTGTATGCCACTGAAATTTTGTACTTGTTTGTTATGTAGTATTATTGTGGCTCCAGATAACATATATAGTCCAATTAAATCAAGGGTCCTAACAGAAGATACTGCCAAACTTACTGTGAGGGGGCTAGTTCTCAAACATTCTGGGGTAAGTAGAAGGCTGACCTGCCCAGAATTCATCGAAGACCATTAGGAGGCCCTGTTGCCTAACTCCACATACTAGTTAAGGACCAAGATATTTTGCCCTTTATAATCCATTCTTAAAGAGTAACAGTATTTTAAAACCAGGAGAAATTCTAAAATTCCAGCTCCTCATTTTAGGTGTAGAGAAAAGTAAGAACATAGAGGTTGTGACTGGCTTGAAGTCATACAGCGAGTTACTTACAGAGGGTTTTGCCATGTTACATAGCCTCTTGATAAACAAATGCGGAGGAGCCATTAAAGAACTTAATGAACAACACCTATCTATTTGAGGCAGCTAAGCACTCGTAATAGTTACGTACATTGTTAGAAACTGATTAAAGACTTGGAAATCAGAAAAGAGTACAGCATGTCCTTTCAATGTCACAGTGGGGCACTGTTTAACAAGTCCACCCAAGGATTATTAAGCTTGTAGGGAAACTTACTTGAGTGTGATTTTGCTATTTAATATTGGGTTTGAGGGCAAACACCATGAAGTTACGTGTTAACTCATAGCTTCCTGTCCAGTAGGACAGACCACCAAAGGTTATGTTATGGTTTGGTTGCCCTGTAGGATATTAATCACTTCTATATCATACCTAGTATTTATTGTAGTACTCCATTTTTTTAAATGGCTATTTGTAATCATTAAGAAGATTTTGAACCTGTTTTACCATTTATGTGGTTCCCTCGTTAATTAATGAGCTGGATAAAACTTTGGCAGATGTCCATTTCATATTTGTATGACTTCTCTTTTTGATGGTTTGAAAATTATGTTCTGACTGGATATACTATACATTCTCACAACATCTACTATTAGACAAGTTATAAATATCAAAGAAATTAAGCATAGACTTGAATATACCTGGAGAAAGAAAGCGATCCCAAGCCAAAGAGATAGGATCCATCTAAAGTGATTGGAAGAAAAGAATCAAAGAAGCAGGAGACTTCATGAAAATGGAGGGAGTGGTATGAAGTGTGCCACTAGGATTACCATTCCAAAAAAGATCAAATCTTTTTATTCTTGGTTTAAAACTATTAGTAAGCTTCTAGAGTACAAATACGATCTTATTAATCACTGTAGGAGAATGCACACACCAGGCACCTACTTCATTTTTTAATATATTTCATTGAAACAGATATATTATGGAATCAAGATTCTTTTTCAAATTAAAAAAATTGAAGAGAAAATGTCAAAAATCTGGCATCCAGATAACCATTCCTTTGTTGATGGGGCAGATTTTTAGAATATTGCAGGCAGTGCCTAAGTGCATGTTACCCTGATGCAATCCTAAGTCTGACTAAAAATGCCTAACGAGTCTCAATACTCTATATATCAGAACCCACTTAAAGGAAAGCAGAATTAGACTGATTTGGGGCTTAAATCTTTGCTTTCTGTCAAGCAGCCAAATGATAAGATATTTTGTACTGATG